AATAAAGGCTTCGGCGGCCCAGTGGGGCTGCCCTGGGAGGCTCGGGGGGAGGAGGGGTTCAGGGCCCAGGGAAGCAGGGGCAGGCCAGCGGGTGATCCTGGGAGGCCTGGGGGAGGGGGTGTCCAGGGCCCGAGAGGGCCAGGGAGGACGACGAACCACGAACGAACGAACCACGAAAATAAAGGCTTCGGCGGCCCAGGGGGGCTGCCCTGGGAGGCCCGTGGGCAGGAGGGGTCCAGGGCCCAGGGAAGCAGGGGAAGGCCAGCGGGTGATTATGGGAGGCTCGGGGGAGGGGGGGGTCCAGGGCCCGAGGTGGCCAGGGAGGACGACGAACCACGAACGAACCACGAAAATAACGGCTTCGGCGGCCCAGGGGGGCTGCCCTGGGAGGCTCGGGGGAAGGAGGGGTCGAGGGCTGAGGCAAGCAGGGGCAGGCCAGCGGGTGATTCTGAGAGGCCCGGGGGAGGGGGGGGTCCAGGGCCCGAGAGGGCCAGGGAGGACGACGAACCACGAACGAACGAACCACGAAAATAAAGGCTTCGGCGGCCCAGGGGGGCTGCCCTGGGAGGCCCGTGGACGACGAACCACGAACGAACGAACCACGAAAATAAAGAGGTCCGAGCTCTAGAGCACAGCTGTGCAAGACAATAAAGAGGTCCGAGCTCTAGAGCACAGCTGTGCAAGAGAATAAACAATTTTAGCTTCTCGGGGCCCTCTTGGGAGGCTTCTTGGGGACCTCTTGGGCCGTCTTGGAGGCCTCTTGGCCCGTCTTGGGGCCATCTTGGGCGTCTTGGAGCGCATGTTTGGCGTTTCGGAGTCCTCGTGGGCCGTCTTGGAGGCCTCTTGGGGCCTTCTTGGCCTGTCTTTAGGCCTTCTTGGACTGGGAAAAGCCTCGTGGCGCGCTCGTAGTGGGCCGGGGGGGGGTCAAATCTCCGGTTTGGGATCCCTGGGGGGGTATGGGGGGGGGGGGAATTAATCTCACGCGCCTAGAGACCCACAAGGGGTCGTCGGATTTGAAACTCCATGTGGTCATTTTTATCAGCGCATGCAACAACAAGTGTTCATCAATGACTGTTTGAACAGATTCAAAGGGATGAGCGAGTTCGTCGTCTCATTGGATTTCGACGAGTATTTGATACCATATTCGGACATCCCTTCTCGAATGTACGGCATTGCACAAGCTTCGTTCGCCAATTGCACAGAGGCCGACTTTGAATATTATCTTTGGACAATGTGGAAGAAGCCGGGAAGTGAAAGGCAGCTCTTGATAGAAGCCCAGTTGCGCGAGAATCATACCCATGTGGGGGGGATACCCGGGGGGCTCAGAAAACCGATCATGCGGCCTGAGCGAGTGGTGAACGGTTGGGTGCACTATCCTCTACATTGCGGGACTCCACCACACATGAGGGCATGTACAACTTGTGCGAAGCCGCACACGGGGCCGGGCGCCATCGCCACGTTCGCGCATATTAGATTGCGGCCGGACGTGCCTGGGAGTAGCCTAGTGAGGGATCATTTCTTCGACGTGCAGGTGGACGACGTCAGGGCCGAGCTGTGCGCGCTCATGAGGGAATCTGATATGGGTTGCAGCCCGACGGATTGGTCTCCTGCGTAGAACTTGGGTTAAAGTTGCCTCCTAAAGCATATCACGTTCACTGGACAGCATATCACGTTCTTCGGCGGAGGGGTGCTGTTCTGGGCGGGTGGGCGCTGGCTGCTTCGCTGGGCCCGGTGGCGGTTCGCTCCGAGCGGAGGCTCGGACCGCCCGTCGTCGCTACCTCGGCGTGCGTGGCCGCCCGCTGGCTTCATCATCTACCATAACCACATGTTCATCCTGATCTTCGTCGGGTTTCGTGAGCCGCGTCCGGGGTCTTATTAGGACGCCTGCTTTCTCAGCACAGGAGTCGGCCAATTCCTGTGGTCGTTTAGTCGTTTAGTCGCTGGTCCCTCCTGCTTCCCCCTCTCCGTTCTGGGCTCCTCGTCCGCGCATCGCTGACCCCGTGCTCCGCTCCGCGTAGCCGTAGCCCCTCTTGTGCTTTTCCACCCGTCCACATCTAGGCCTGAACGTATCTTCCTGCTGGTTTTTTCCTGCACTTTCGTCGTGCCCAGTATAGAGCCATTTTGGCCGAGACTATGTCTGTACAGCCTGGTCGATGCACATTGAGTTGTGCGCAGGTGGGCCCGGTGGCTGCGCAGGAGGCTGGTGGTGATTCGGGAGAGGCGCCCGTTGAATTCCGGACGGAAAAGGAAAAAAAAAAAAAAAAAAAAAAAAAAAAAAAAAACTTCGCTCCTCTCCGCCTCCTTCTGGGGCCGTTCGACTCGGCAGCGCAGGCTGCCCGCACGAGTCTGCAATGCAGGCGCGAACCCAATTCCTGGCAAGCCCAGTTTCCAACATATGCAGAGGGTGTGCTGGGCACCTTGGCAGCGTATCACGTCCTTTGCTCCTCTCCCCCTCCTTCTGTGGCCGTGCGACCTGGCAGCGCAGGCTGCCCGCACAAGCTTGCGATGCAGGCGGAAGCCCAATCCCCAACGTTTGGCGAGCCCATGTTCCCAAGTATTCAGAGGGCCTCCTAAAGTTGTCTCCTCGATCTAGCGGCGGGGGATAGGGATCGGTTAAACGATGTTCAGTTTGCCTCCTCCTGCTGCTCCTCGAGCCGACGGTCGGGGAGCGCGTTGTCGGCGCGCGCCCCGTGGGCTCAGAGGAGCAATGCTTTGTGGTGCAGAGTGCCGCGAGGCGGCAAGCCACAGAGTCCAGGCGTGAGTGTGTGAGGCGGAGAGGGCGACTGAGTGTGTGAGCGTGAGTGTGCGAGAGTGTGTGATGATTATGATGGTGATGGTGATGATGATGAAGAAAAGAGGTGGGAGGAGAGATCCTGCGCGGGGGGGGTGCAGAGAAAACTAGAACCCAACTTTGGATGTGGGGGAAAACATGCCCCATCCCCCCCCCTCCCCCCCCTGCCATCCCCTCCTGCCCTGCCCCTCCCTGCACTCCTCCACTCCCTCTGCCGTGCTCTCCCTCCCCCATCCCCCCGTCCTGCCTCCATTTCCGTCCCCCCAGCCCTCCAATTATGGGGGGGTAACAATCTCACATGCCTGGAGACCCACAAGGGGTCGGCGGACTATCAGGACCCGCCAGTTTGCCTCCTGCTGTTCCCCCTTGAGCCGACTGTCAGGGGAGCGCGTTGGCCGCCACCAGGCTGTCAGCGTGCGCCCCGCGGGCTCGGAGGGACAAGGCTTTGTGGTGCACAGTACCACGAGGGCCGATCCTAGTTAGTCTCAGGCAGTTTTTTTTTCTAGATTTTCACGTGCGGGCTCCTTGATACATGCTTCATGCCGATTTCACAAGCAGCGTCTCCATGCTCGCTGTTTCTTTGAGAGGAGAGAAGACGACACGCAGGAGCAGGAGTAAGAGGACTCACTTCCTTCTTTCTGTCCTGCGCTGATTCTTGCGTTCGGCCTCGGGGGGGCGTTTCGGGCGGCCATGGGGAAGCGATCCTGGGCGGAAAGCTTGGGGTCCGGAGATTGATTTGGCCGGGATTCCGTGGGCTTCGAGTGGGATGATGCATGTCTTGATGCAAGCTTCGAGGATCGGGGTTGGATGCCTTCTGGTTCTCGGGGGCTCTCCCCGTCGGTCGCGGCTTGGCGCGCTCGAGACACTTGTCAGGTTGGACTCTGGGAAGGGACCGGGGGCCGTCGTCATCGTCGTCGTCGTTGTCGCTGTCGTTGTCATCCTCCCTCCGGCCCCCGGTGCCGGACGAGCGAAGGGAGGAGTGGGAGTAGGCGATCGACGGTTCGTCCATATCCCTGCTGGTGACAGAACTCCACGAGGTAGGGAACCAATCGGAATCTCGAGGGGATATTAGGAATCTGTAAGGAATCCAAGGGATCTCAAGAAAATCTGAGGGATCTCTAGGGAATATGAAGAATCTCTAAAGATGATTAGGAATCTCTAGGGAATCCAATCCAATTCTAGGGATCTTAGGAGTCACGTGGGTATCCTAGGAGTCTCAAGGGAATCAAAGGAATCTCTGGGGCATCCTAAGGACCTCTTAGGAAACCCGAGGAATATCGAAGCAATCATAGGAATCTCTCGGGAAGCCTATGATTCCATCCCACACTCATAGTAAACCATCCTTCCGTCCCACTCTCATAGTAAACCACTTCCATCCCTCTCCTCCGCCGCCGCCCGCGGAGGAGATATGAGGAAAAGAAGTATGACGTGCGGGAGTAGTAGCGGGAGGAGGAGGCGGAGGAGGAGGAGGACGAGGGGGAGGGCAACAAGAGGAGGACTAACGGGCAAGCCAGTGACCTTTCGCGCTCAGGAGAAGGGCGTCGCGGGATCTCTCCTGGCTGCCGAGGAGTATTGATGGGGGCAAGAGGAGCAGCGTGAGGAGGCGGAGATGCCGCCATCGGGATCGGCTGCAGACCGGGGCCAGCCGCACGGTGGCCTCCGCGAGCAGCGTGGCGGGCACCGGCACCGGCGTCGCTGAACACCGCGAGGGGGGCCAGCAGCAGCGCCCGGAGACCGGCATGGACCGCCCAGGCGGACCAGGCACGGACCGGACCATTGTCTTCGCTACCATTTACATCGACGACGCAGGCCGACGCCAGAACACCCGCGCGCCCACAAACAGCTGCAGGGCCACGACGTAGTGCACCAACGCCAACATCAATGCGCGGCGCGCCGGCCGGCGCGCCACGGGCAGCGGCATCGCCGGCGCGCGGCCGCGTAGTCCAGGCATGAGGGCCGCGCGTGCTTTTGAGCGCTGGCCCCGAAGGGCCCGGCGGGCGCCGCTGTTCGAACAGAGACGCAAGGCGTCCGATTTCAGCATGCATGTTCAGTAGAGAGCGTCCAAGTCCAGCATGCATGTTCAGCAGATAGAGGAGGGGCTGATGTAGGAGGCAGAGGCGCGTGTTCTGCTGTGGATTCAGTTGAACGAAAGGAAAGCGCGGTCCCGTCAAGCAGAGCCAGAAACAGAACCGGAGCACGCCAGCCAACCAGAGCAGCAAGAACAGACAAGCGAAGACGGTCCACCAGAGCAGCAAGACTGGCCGAGTGAACATTGCCACTGTTGCTTGCAAGTTCAGCCAAAGCGATTTTGTCAGTGACCGCAACGGCAAATATAGCTACTTGGGTGCCGGGTGCGGCTGAAACTGCACGGCGGTCATGGCCTCCTTGCGGAATGGAAGGCATGGGGGCGTCATCCAAAGCTGAATGGACATCGGCAAGAGCAGGGGGCGGAGAAGGAGTGGCCATCGTACCGCGAGACGGCGGGCCTGGTAGCGGCGGCGGAGTATCTGCGGCGCGCAGCAACCAGTGCTGCGGAGGAAACCCAGGGGGGCGGGGAGACGGAGCAGGGCGGCCCGAAGAACGCGCAAGTCGGGCCATGTGGGCCAGGAAGCGAAGAGCATATCCGCGTGGAGGGCCGCGCGTGGCTGCAGGAGCACCTGGGCACGTGGGTTCAACGAGGGCAGGAGTTCCGGCATAACCACGTGCGCTAGTGGAGCAAGCGACTGCAGCGGATGGCGCCGTTGGCTCATTGCCAGAAGAAGGAGGACATGACGCAATGCAAAGGCTTCTTTCCACGCACGTCGTGGTTGATAGACAGGGCCGTCGTGCTGCGCCAAGGGTTTCGGAAAGCTCGTGACATGCCGCGCGCAGGCAGGAGGAACATGACGGGCTGCTTGCATGGGCCCATGAACGAAGAGAATCTGAACGGCACCCTGCCGGCGATGCTGAGCGGAACTGTGGGGTTGAATTTTAACAGCGACCTCCAGATGCCTTACAGGTTCCCCGTCGCGGAAGCCACGCACGATGAGGTCGTGTGCGGAGAGCGGTGTCGGGGGGCGGACCGGCCCATGGACATGGTGCTTGCAGCGCAGCGCGCGCAGAATGCTGCGGCGGGGTGCGCGGCGGACTATCAGTGCAAGCGGTGCGCGCCGTCGTTTTATGAGGTAAAGGAGATGAAGAAAGGTCGCCATGCGCTGGCGGAGCAGACGAAGGACAGGGCCGCGGCGCATCGGGCAAATAGGCCCATGAAGAGGTTCCTGAGTGACATGCAAGGGGGAGGCGCGGTGCGGTCGGCGCAGGAGAGCGCGAGCTTGCGCGTGTATAGGGGCCCCAGAGACGTGACCGCGGCCGAGAGTATCAAGACCGCGAAGACGCTTGATTGACCAGGGCTTTTATGTGTTGAAGTTACTTTTGTTTTTTGTGATTTGAAGTAATGGAATGTTTGATGTTTTGTATTGGTTTGACGTTTGTTTATTTTTTTTTTTTTCATTTATTTGTTGTTGTTGTTTTTTTTGTTGTTGATCATTTCTTGGGTTTTTTTTTGTTTTTGTGTTTGAAAGTTTGGCTTTTTTGAATGTTGCTTTTTGTTGTTTTTTGATGTTTTTGTGAAATTTTGATGTTGTGATGAATTTTCTTTTTTGATTGTTTATGAATTTTTGTGACGTTTTGTTTTTTTTTTTTTGTGAAAGTAGTGCGTCTGGCGGAACGGCTGCGCGCCGACGGAGGAGGCGCGCCCGCCCTCGCATCGGGCACGTTGGAGGCGAACGAGCGGGGGGGCTCGAAGAAGGTGCGCGTCGTCTCCAAGAGCCCGGTGTACTTGTGCGGCATGCGCCCCATCGACGAGCCGGGAGCGCCCGACCTGGCGCGGTTGTCGCCCTATGAGTTTCTGCGGCACTGGCGCGTGGAATTGGCGGCGCACCCGCGAAGCGAATGGGAGTTGGGAGCGGCTGCCAGCGACGAGTGCCAGGCGACATTGGCGCCGTCGGGCGCGCAGAAGGTTCGCGAGAGTAGCCGCGGGGATTTGGAAGCCGGGGCGGGCGACGTGAAGGGGGGGGCGCAGCTGCTGGCGGGGGAGGGCTATGTTGTGAAGGAAGGCGGGCGGGATGGGTGGGTGCCATTCCCCGATGTCCCTGGGGCGGGGGCCCTGAGGCACGCGTGGGTGCTGGCGCGGAACGCGCGCCCGAGGAATCCCAGCTTCCACGGGGCGCCGCAGTCGAAGCATGGAGCAGGTCAAGAAGACGGGAATGGGCCATTGCTGATGGCGTACTTTCGGGCCTTCACTCGGCCCGAAGACGGAGAAGCTGGGGCGCCGCACCTGCGGGACCTATGCGGCGCGCGCGGGTCGTGGGCAGAAGCGGCCGCGGAGTGGCTCAAGGGGGGCATGCCGTGTGAGGAAACGAAGAGGCACGTCCAGAACTACATGGGCGCGGTGGACATGCGACCGGTCGCTGACGAAGATCTCGTCGAGCGCGAAGACGAGCTCTATAGCGACGAAGAGTTGGGCCCGCGGATGGCGGAGGCGGCCGCGCGGCTGAAGACGCGCGTCGGGGGCGTGTCCATGGAGAAGGAAGACCGCCGGGTGAATGCAAGCGTGGAGGGCGAAAAAGAAACAAACGAGGAGGCAATGGCAAGGGGCGACGCCGCGTGGGGCGACAGCATGAGTAAGAAAGGCAAGAAGCAACGGAAGCGCGCAGGAGATGGTGCACTAGCGCGGGGCGACGATGAAGCGAAGCAGGCGCAGGCAGCGGCAGCCGCGTCGAGAGCTCAGGATGGGGAAGGCGGG